AAAACATGAGTATCAAGCCAGATGTCAATCAGCGTCAGCCTCGAGATTAGTGTACAGATTAGCAAGCGCTCCGTGCATAAGGATGAATGCTGTAGTCAGCGTTAGCCTCGAGACAATTGTACAGATTAGCAAGCGCTCCATGCATAAGGTTGAATGCTGCAGTTAGCGTTAACCTCAAGATGAGTGTATAGATTAGCAAGCTCTCCGTGAATAAGGATAAATGCTGCAGTTAGCGTTAGGCTCGAGATAAGTGTACAGATTAGCGCATGCTATGCACATAAGGATGGATGCTAGAGTTTGTGTTAGCCTAGAGATGTGTACACAGTTCAGTAATTGCTCCGTGCAGAAGGATAAATGCTACAGTTAGCATTAGCCTGCAGATGAGTATACAGATTAGCAAGTGCTCTGTGCATAAGGATAAATGCTGCAGTTAGCATTATTCTTGAGAAGTGTATACACATTAGTGAGCACCTCGTGCATAAGGATAAATGCTACAGTTAGCACTAGCCTCGAGAAGTGAATACACATTAGTGAGCACCCCGTGCATAAGGATAAATGCTTCAGTTAGCGTTAGCCTGGAGATGAGTACACAGATGGCCCTGAGTTGCTGTTTAACAAACCCAAATGCTGCCTGCAATGTCTTCCAATGACCTCTCTTTACAATTTATTAAAATGAAGTGTCACAAATAGGTAACTAGCACCAAAATGCTTATTAACCACATAATAATAAACTATCTGCCTTCTTTCTGAATAGACCCTCATTTACACAAGCTCTGTGGTTTTAACACAGTTTTGCAGTAGAGGGCACTGTACACCACATTTTATCATTACAAAAAACATTTCAATATTTCATCCCCCTCAGGATGTAACATTTGAAAAAAAGACTTTCAATGTAGATTTATTTAGATAAAGTATGTGCTGCTAATTAAGCCGCTACTTGGGAGTTTAGATGCTAAAGCAGGGGTCTCCAACTCCAGTCCTGGACAGCCTGGCTTTTCTATCCTACCGGGCTTCTCCAACCTCCTGGTATTTACCTGAGAACTAGTGTGGCTCAGGTAGGATAGAAAACCTACTGGACAGTAGCTCTCCAGGACCGGAGTTGGAGACCCATGTGCTAAAGCCTTCAAAGGGGTGAGGTCTGGTCTCACCTGGGAATTCTCACATCCCCCCCCGCGGTGCAGAATAAGGAGTTCGTGTGCAGGGGCCACGACTACGAGCGCCTGGAGGCCTTCCAGCAGCGCATGCTGAACGAGTTCCCTCAGGCCATCGCCATGCAGCACGTCAACCAGCCCGACGACACCATCTCCCAGGCCGAAGCACAATGCATCCTCTGCAGTGGCTGCTCTCCTCCTGGTGGGGCAGGGACTCGCGGCCTGTGTTAAGTGCACATGAAGTAATGAAGGTCAACGTGATACAATTTAAATGGTGGCACAGAGTCTGGTGCGGACCGGCTCATATGCGTTGGTGGGCCGGTGTCATTTAGGACGATGACCCCTAGTATCAGCCGTTGCTCAAAGGTGGCGCTGACTGAGGACAGGAGAGCACTCTGTGGTGGAGTGACACAGGCGCGGAAGCCTGGCGTCTGTGTGACCAGTCAATCTGCTCCATCTCTGGGCTCCATATTCACTCGCTCCATATTTATGTGCTGTGCATCTGTCTGAGTCCTTCCTGACCCCCAAGATGTTACACCGTACGTGTGTGTGTGTATGTCTGTGTGTGTGTATGTCTGTGTGTGTGTATGTATGTCTGTGTGTGTGTGTGTCTGTGTGTGTGTGTATGTCTGTGTGTGTATGTCTGTGTGTGTATGTCTGTGTGTGTGTGTATGTCTGTGTGTGTGTGTGTGTGTGTGTCTGTGTGTGTATGTCTGTGTGTGTGTGTGTGTGTCTGTGTGTGTGTGTGTGTGTGTATGTATGTCTGTGTGTGTGTGTATGTATGTCTGTGTGTGTGTGTGTATGTATGTCTGTGTGTGTGTATGTATGTATGTCTGTGTGTGTGTGTATGTATGCATGTCTGTGTGTGTGTGTGTGTGTGTGTGTGTGTTTGTATGTGTATGTGTGAGTGTGTGTGTGTGTGCATGTATGTCTGTGTGTGTGCGTATCATTGAGACAGTTTAATAGACTGACAAAGTTTAAAACGTTCAAATATTACTAAATTGATTTTTATTAAACAGTTTTCAGTCGGTGATGTAAGAGGGCAGTAGGTAATGATGGAGGGGAAGTGAAAGTTTATAAGATTAGATACAGAAAACAAGCCTTCCGCTGTCCCTTTTGGTCATGAGTGGCACGTGCCAACTAGATTGTTACGCCTTGACTGGAGCATATCTAGATCTGCAGATCTACGCCGTGAGTCCGATTGCAGAGGCTCAGGATGTGCTGCAGAGGGATAACGTCTCTGATAACATCAAGAGCTTCTACAAAGTTAACCACATCTGGAGGTTCCGCTATGACCGGCCCTTCCACAAGGGAACTAAGGACAAGGAGAACGAGTTTAAGGTAGGCCCCTCTCCACCCCCCGTAGAGTGTATTGTCGAGGCTTAGCGCTCAGGTAATTTGTTATTAAAGGGATGAGCGTGAAGTTGGGTGACCCCTGATTGCTGGTCAGGTTACTCTGCAGTTCGGTGAGGGCTCAGTGCAGATCTGCTGGCGGGGGCTAGTCTTTCTCTGGGATGGTATCTCAGAGACACAGGAGGTCGATGTTGTGGTAGAAGAAGCGTGGCTACGCCTGCTTTGGTTTTTAATTTGCTATAATCCCGCAATAATGTAATGATCTGCTAAATCCGCCCAGCTTCTCATGGATTCCATGTGAGGACGGTGTGGTGAGCTCTCCGAGGGCTATTAGGGAGGGTTATTATACTGCAGTTAGTGGGAAACGGATTTTTAAGGGAGTCCGGAAAAAAGCCTGTGAGTTACAGCATCGGTGAGGCAGAGCAGAAGAGATGATTCTGGGATTTTTTAAAGTGAGAAGCAAAAGAGGGTCCAAAATTCATACAGTTGGGCCAACTTTATCATTAGCCAATTATATGTTTTGAGTGACAACTTTCAGCTAGATCCAGAACAGTGACCATGTGATTTTTCTGTGTAGAGCCTTTGGGTGGAACGGACAACTTTGACCCTGGTACAGAGCCTGCCTGGTATCTCTCGCTGGTTTGAAGTGGAGAAACGGGAAGTGGTGAGTACGGCTTCGGACTGTCATTGAGCTAAACTGTGCACTGAGTAAGGCTACATACCAAGTAAGGCTGTGCACTGAGTACGGCTACATACCAAGTAAGGCTGTGCACTGAGTAAGGCTACATACCAAGTAAGGCTGTGCACTGAGTAAGGCTACATACCAAGTAAGGCTGTGCACTGAGTACGGCTACATACCAAGTAAGGCTGTGCACTGAGTAAGGCTACATACCAAGTAAGGCTGTGCACTGAGTAAGG